CTACCCTACCGCTACTGGACTCTAAAAATGCCAACTTTGTCTTTTTCTGCTCGGCCTCCAGTACCCCCTCACGCCAACTGCAGTGGGGTGCAGTATCGGCCTACCGGCCTATTTGAGTGTTTTTCCGCTACCCCAAGGGCCTCAGGGCCGCTAGCTTCGCCACTTGAGTGTTTTCCCTGCTACAACCCTCAATGCCACGGCCACAGGTAAGTACCGGCCCTACGTGCCTACCAAACAAGCAAGTACCCTTGCGGGTCCCACACACACTCATACCAACAAGCACTCAGACAGGCATGCAGGTCACCAGCACGCACACACAGACAGACTTAAGAACACAGCAGAATGCGGGAATCTTAGCAAGGCATCCATTCCATCGGCAGAACTTCAGAAATCAGCAGTGTTCTCAGTCTGTGTTTTGACGGGTCATTACACTACTCCCCCCTCGAGAGCGAGGTCCCTTCGAGCGAGTAACTCAATCAGAGTCCTTGCATAATGCATCATAAGCGTAGATAGCGAAGAGAGATCGGGTGTGTTCCGTAGGAGTCAGGGTAGCAGTGAATTTTGGTTGCTGTTCAAAACTTATCAATCGCTCATAGGCATTAACGACACGCGGTGCACTCTGCAGTAAGTCTTTCTAAGCAATCCAGTAGAAATCGTCCAGCGGATGGTACAGAAAATGGACTTTGTACTCTGTTTCTTCCCTTCCCACTATGTTCGACAATTCTATCAACCTCGTGACCGCCATTGATTGCGCGAGGAATCATCGATTCTCGGTATTTGAACGTCTCAGGTGGTTAATACGGAAATAACTTTGATGCGTGGAAGACTGGATACATGCGCAGATGCACAGGCACATCAATCGTGTAAGAAGGACCGAAGGAATCATTACCTACTCGATTCAGCATCTTCCAGGGACCGTAGTACTGAGGAAGAAGTTTCCGTGACACGCCTTCTTCTTCAGAAAACTCAGACATCTTGACCCAGACATAACTTCCCACGGTGAAGGGATCAAGCTGGCGTTTCTTGTTCGCATGCTTAATCATAGCACTGTGTCGCCTCTCCATAGCCGCGACAACGACTTTGAGCAAACGATCATACTTAGCACTGTAGCCTGGCTGGCCAGGTGTTCGGCCAGGTGGCTGTTCCGGGAACAGATAGCATAGGGGATTGCGGATTTTCCATCCGAGGTGCAACCGGTTAGGCGTCATCCCGTGGAAGAGTGGATGGAGTTGTTGTACAACCCCTGCACAATCGGCAACTCCTCATCCCAAGAGTTCAGGTCAGGTACGATGAGAGCCCTGAGAAGTTGGATCACGGTCTGGTTGATCTCCTCGGCCACTCCATTGGCTTCGGGGTGTCGACCAGACGTCATCTTGAGTTTCATGTCGTAGGTCTGGGAGGTGAAGTCTTTCCAATCTTCACTTATGAACCTGGTATCCCGATCCCTCACAAGAGTCTTCAGGGGCCCGCACTGCAGAATGTACCTTTTGTTAAATTCTTCGATTACAAGGTCAGTTGGGGCGTGAGGTGGTAATGGGATTAGATTCAGAAACTTGGAAAAACGATCGACGATCACCATTACCTGTGAATAACCGTTTCTGCTTTTCTTCCCCATGTCCGTGAAGTCAACGGAAACAGACTCACCTGGGCCATCAGGGATAGGAAGAGGGTGCAGCAGCCCATAGGGCTTCTGTCGAGACGGTTTGATGCGTTGACAAACTTCACATTCAGCCACAAACCTTTGCGTCATTCTTTTCATTCCAGGCCACACAAACTTTTCCAACAGGTTTCCGTATGTCTTCTCAACGCCGAATTGTCCACTCCGGCCATGAGCCAAGTCCAAGAAGTGAGTCATGATCGGCTCATGGTTGGGCACACACAATCGGTTATGTTTCTCTTAACGTCGGAAGAGAAGGCCCTTACATTCATGGAAATCAGGCTGACTGCTAGGGTCAACGCGAATCTGCTCAAGGATGGGACTGAGTTCCGGATCCTTGGCAGTATGCTCTATGAGTTCCTCCTTCAGATTTTTACGCAGGTCATAGGAACCCACAAGGCAAGTCATGTACTCCGGGTGGCGCGACAAAGCATCCGCAATGCGATTGTAACAACCTTTCTTGTGCTTAATCTCAAAGTCATCCACAACAATCTCATGCAGCCAACGGGTCAGTGTAGTTGAGGGATTATTCTGTGTCTGAACCCATTTCAAGGTCTCATGGTATGAGAACACCTTGAAGTGTCGACCCAAGAGGTAGTGCTTCCAGTGGTCTAGTGCCTCTCTCAAGGCATAGAGTTCTCGCATGTAGGTGGAGGCAGTTACATTGTGACTGGGCATACGTTTGCTGTAAAACTCTAGCGGACGTAGGCCATCGCCGTCATCTTGTTGCAGCACTGCACCAATCCCATACATACTGGCATCCGTAGTTACTACGAATGTGAGTTTGGGATCTGCAATGCGGAGCACCGGATGACTCACCAAAGCCTCCTTTAATGCTGCGAAGGCTGTCGTGCATTCCCCATCCCATGTATAAGACACATTCTTGCTAGTCAATCTAGACAGCGGACGGGCGGTGATAGAAAACTTAGGCACAAACTTGCGGTAATAGGACGCAAGACCAAGAAAAGAACGCAACTCGCGAACATTCGCCGGTTGAGGCCAATTGCGGATGACCTCAGCCTTGGTTGCCTCAGGCTCTAGGCCTGCAGCAGACAACCGGTGCCCAAGGTAGATGACGCTGTCCCTCCCAAACTCAGATTTCTCCAAGTTGAGATGGAGTTGTGCTTCCTTGAGGACCTGCAACACTTCCTCAAGATGTCTCATGTGCTCCTTCATTGATTTGCTAAATATTAGTATATCATCCAGATAAACAACAACAAACCGGTTGATTTGATGGCGGAACACTTTGTCCATGAGACTTTGAAAGGTGGCTGGCGCATTTGTGAGACCGAAGGGCATGACGGTGAACTCGTACAGCCCATCGCGAGTTTTGAATGCGGTTTTGTGCTGGTCTGCAGGACCGACTTCAATTTGGTGGTAGCCAGACGTGAGATCGATCTTGCTGAAGACTTTGCACCCACCTGCAGCATCAAGCAGATCATCGATACGTGGCAAGGGGTATGCATTCTTCCTTGTGATTCCATTCAATCCGCGGTAGTCAATACACATCCGCAGTTTGCCTCCCTTCTTAGGAACAAACAACACTGGTGCACCAAACTCAGACTCACTGGGTTTGATCCATCCCTTCCCAATCATCTCATCAATCTGCCTTCGCAACTCCTCCAATTCGCCTGAGCYCATTCGATAGACACAACCCTTTGGAGRAGTGCTACCTTYAATCAACTCGATCTTGTGTCGGACCRGACGCACGGGAACTCCATGCGGTTCGGCCAAGACCTCAGGAAATCGGTTGAGAAGGTTGCGAATTTCTGGTGGAACTTCCGGAGGGGGATCATCACTCTCAGGAGCAAGCATATCAGATGTCATAGGTGCAGCCAATATGACAGGATTAAAAGCAGAGTCATTTGGACTAGAGGTAGATTTAGTAGAGGTAGAAGTAGTTGCATCCGAGGTGGAAACAACATGCAAAGTAGAATCATTATGTACAGCAAAAATAAAAGGCACATGAAGAGGCCTAACAAAGGCTATATACATTTGCTCATCAGTTTTGCGCCTGCGCCACTTTTTGCAGAACTGCATTGCATTGAGAAAGGTTACTTGGGACTCGCGCGGCTCATCCAAGAGGACTGGACGCTCGATTCCCATGGCATCTTTGACCATGAATTGTGAGTCCTTCCACGTGGTTCTTTCACATTGGGCCTGCAACCAGCCCAAGCCAATAACCGCGTCGAAGGGGCACTGATCAAGGACATAGAAGTTCAATTCATGCGTGATTATGCGGTCAGCGTCAAAGGTAGTGCGCACACCTTTGACTGCATGCGTAGATGTGACAACCTCCTGGTTGCCTACTTGGGTCCGACAAGGATTCTGCAAAGTCACTTGCTATATCCCCAAGCGTGCCTTACGAATGCCGTGCGGTGAGAAGTAGTTGGCGGTTGCACCACAATCATCCAACGCACGGATGTAATGACCATTAATGTAGAGTTTGAAGAAGATCAACTTCGTCCTCCCTTGCGCGCGTTCTTGCTTCATGTGAGCCCAACGCGTCAACAGAGCATGAAAGTCAATCTCTTCCGACTCTACCCAAGGCTCCTTGTATAGGATGTGTAACTTTTCAGCCTTGGAATCAGCATCAGATGGGGTTTCAGGAGAGGTTTGTTGAGTGAGATCAGAATCCAAAGAAGAATCTGTACTTACATGTTCAGCCTCTCCATCCGTAGAGTGTGTTGATGATGCCTCTACCCCTATTGTCGGTTTCCCTGCTGCAATATGAAACAGTGTTGGACTGAATGTCCCGGTTTGGTGCAATGCAGGCAAACCCCTCTCTTTACCCTGTTCTTCCACTCACTTTCACTGATCCGGAGATCCACCCATGGTTTTGTGGCAGGATCTTCCGGTTTGGGTGGAATCTTTGCTCCCTTGGGAAGAAGGATAGTGTTAGTGTTGTTCTTCATTGTGGTCCTTAGTCCCTTGCTTTTAAAGGCAGTCTTCTTAAAGGCATTCATGGATTCCTCATCATTCACCAACTCAGACTCATGGGCTGACGCAGAATATGATGGCTCACAGCCTTTCTCTTGATCGTCATCAAGAGAAGGGTTGTCCGCGAGGATCTCCTCGTCATCCTCTAGCAGATCGTGTGCTGCCAAACGGTTGCTGCCAGAAAACCGTTTGCGGCCAAGGGCTCTTTTGCCACTCGATCCACCCGGGAGGTCTTGTGCCTCCAGCTTGACTAGATCCCGCATGAGGGAAAGCCAATCTCTAAATTCCGCGAGTTTGAGGCCCAGGCGACGAATTTCAGCAGAGGGGACCGTTGCTTTTATCACATCCAAGCAAGACTGTGCAGTCATTTCCAAATTGGGAGTAGCAAAGAGCTTACTGACATACTGCTGCAGACTTTGCATGGTGCCAGTCCACTTGCTGTGCTTGAGTTTATCAAGCTTAAGTCTTGCTTTTGCTGCAGCATGTGGATCGACATACTGTTGAATCAAGAGATCCTCAAGTGTGGCTACAGGCGTAGCCTTCAGATATTTGTTCATGTCTATACGTTTATAGCCTGCTCGTACAGCTTGGATTTCTAGAAATCCTCTCACGGCGGGTTCCACATTGGTCCCAAGGACCGACGACTGAGTGACTGGGGGTGTCCCCAACACATCAAAGTAGGACCGCATGGTGCTGATCCATGACTCGACGTCGTCTTTTCCATCGTACTTGGACGGAATCTGTGCCGCCTTCCTGTCGAGGTAAGCAAAGCTGCTGCCCGGCCCAGCCATTGCTGGGTCCGGGCCCGGGGCTGCAACAGTTCCAGAAGTCTTTGCACCACCACTTGCCGCTGCAGCAGCAGCAGCAGCAGGGTCTGGACTTGCTGCAGGTCCGCTTTGGCTGTTAACCACACTCAAAGAAGAAGAAGAAGTAGAAGGAGAAGAAGTAGACGTATTCAGAGGGGCAAAACTGGACTGACACGCAGCATTGGAGGTAGGGTAGGTGAGTGAAGAGACGATTTGAGCCTGCTGCGAACTAGCAAACTGTTGCAGCTGATCGCGGTGCTGCTGCGCCATCTTGGCCATATCTTCGCGCAACTCCTTAAGCTGTTTAAACACCTGTGCGAGTTGGCCAGTATGGTCCTCAGCAACCCGGACCCCTGCTAAGGCTCTGAGGAGGGGAAACATTTTCTCTTCTACCTCCTCATCAGTCAGAGCGGACACGGTGCTAAGGACGGCCTCGTGAGCCTGCACCTTATCCCTTCTCTCTCTCTCTTTTTCTTCCTCCTCCCTCTTCAAGGCTTTCTCGTAGAAGAACTGATACTGCGGTTTTTCTGCCTCAGGGGCAGCGTCCATCTGCAGTTTCCAATTTGCTGCAGATGCCATGATGGAGGATGAGGGTGTCAGTAAGATTCTCAAGAGGGGTCCGTACTTCCTATGAGCTTTGTGACGAACGCTCCTCTTCCCTCTCCTCACTGCCTCAAGAGCAACACTCAATAGCTTCTCTCTTCTCTCTCTCTCTCTCGTTTGCGACCGTGTAGACGCAGGCATTAATTAACCCAATGAAAGAAACAGCTTGAAGTCATTCAGAAGAGAAGGTAGAACTCCTACCCGGAGCGGCAATTCATTTGGACTGGAGAGCAGTCAGAACAACAAAAAAAGAAAAGATCAGAGAGATCTGATCCAGCCACACAGTCTGGACTGACTACGTATGGGGTCCTCCCAAGCCTAGCCAGCCTCAGCTCCGTGAAAACACAGCAAATCAGATTCAAGATGTACAGTGAAATGCAAGAGAGAATTGAGTGGTGTATAAGGTGCGAGTCAGGCGGCGGATTGCGCGGTAAAGTCTGATAAAACGTCCCAGCGGAGATCCCCTCCGCAGCGAGTGTCTTGGTCCGAAAGCATAAAGTCTGTATCCCAATCAGATAGAGCAAGGTAACTGACGTCAACAGATTTGGCCTGAGGGGCCCTTCTTGTTTGGGCCTGGTCCCACTGAGTCCCAAATGGTCCCRGTGGAGTCAGAACCGGGTCCCAACCAACAAGAGTYCCACRGAGACCYWCTCTGTCCCTACTTGAATTGAAAAACGAAATTTTGCCCCAGAAAGAACCTGTAGACTACCGCCGTTCAGAATGAAATAAACAAAGCACTGTAGAAAGATACCACATAGCAAACAAGATACTCCATTCATTCACTCGTCAGGTGAGTAGGCAGTTCACACACCTCACACACAATCAAGACTATGGAGGATGGAAGAAGAACCCAGAGAACCCCAACAGGCAGTCAACTCCATGCATACACACATGGGCACCCTGGTGGCACGACACTTACCTGAGTGGCCGGGCTCTTGAGATGAAAAGCTCACCCCCCTCTCACATAGTCCTCCTGACCCAATTAGCATCCTCTACACTAGTGTCCTATCATCTAGGAGGGTCAACATCTACCCCAAAGTACATAGCCGGATCCCCCGTCAATGTTGAAGATCAAAGCAGCAACTTGCAGTCCGTAGGTGCAGATATGGCTGCCACCCTCAAGCTCGCCTACTTGAGGGGAGCCCTAAAGTCACTCCTCGTCTTCCCTGAAGTCCAGATTCAAGTTGTAGGTGCCCTTCATTGTCGCCTCTCTCAAATTGCATCACAAAGTCCCACCTTGTGTCTCGCCACCATAAACATGCACTCAAACAACCTGGACGGGTCTAGTGTCGACCCTACCTGGCCCTGCCAGGTGGGGGCAGCTTCCCTTTACCACGCTACCCTAACTTCCAGCCCTAACCCTAAGTGGTAGCCCTTACCATTAGGGTTAGGGTTATGGCAGCAAAGTCAACTCTCGCCAACAAGTAGAATCCGCATCGATACCAATGTTACGATCCTGGCCAATTTTGAAGTCCAAAATCATCAGAAAGTACAATGTTGTCCAATTGCGAAAAGAAATGAATGAACTTGAGCCCAATGCAATCCAATTGAAAAAGAAATGAAAGAACTTGAGAGGAGAGAGAGGGAAAGAAGAAGAAGAAGAAGTAAGAAAGAAGAAAGAGATGATGTACTCCAGCATAGACCAA